AAGGATGTTTTCTGTTCTGCTCATCGCCCCGTTCTCTTTATTTCTCTTTTTCAGCACTTTATTCCAATACTTATGTACTAGTCTGAATATTTGCCGAAGACTTGGTTACTTTACCCAGGCGCCTGTGAATTTCTGACCAGATTTTAGCTGATTTACCTCATAAATTCTTGTTATATGCAGAGTATTATTAGCATGTCCAGAAGTGTATGATTCAAGTTTTTTGTGAAGAATGAGTTGCACTACGTAACCCATTAGTGATCTAGAGAGAAAGAGCAACCAGGTGTCTTCAGGTAAAGCGTTTCCGCAAAACCAATGGGCTTAGCAGCAGTTCCGAAGTCATAATTTTTAGGAATTTGTTTGGACATACAAACTTACAAACAACTGCCAACTGACTGGTATTGAACTGTCGAGTGACTAGAACCCCATTCGTTGGACACTACCAAACACCTGGAACCTTGAGGAAAGAACAAGAATCAGTTGGTTTTTTACTAGCTCGTGAAAATGATATAACATATTGGATATTGAAATCTGTTGCCTTGAGAGTCTCTCAAGGACGACACGTCTGAGATGTCTCTTATGATACCGTAGGTAAGATTTTGTAACAAGACCCAGACAGCTCTTTCGAGAAATATGAACATGGTAAAATTTGAAATAAAAAATATGGAAAAGTTATTATCAGCTGTGAGTCTGCAAATATGGATTATTCGATGCATTTACAAAAAAGCACTTGTTAAAGCAAGAGCAAGAAACACTGTGGGTCTGTCGAAACAAAGAACCCAATCTAAAATAACTGGAACAAAAAAGGCTAATATCTGTGGAGAAAATTCGGATATATTGCAGGTGACCTTGCAACCCGAAATTGCCTTTATCGACTACGATGGGGGAAATAAATAGATAAAACACTCAAAATTCACACCCAGACTATATATAACACTATGGTATCACATTTAATTTGACCACATCTAAATTTTACAGCATACCTCTGAGATGAGAGGTTGGTACGTCGTGAAGATAGGTCAATCAGTTAAAACGTGGTAATTCGTGCATGAATACATCAGTTTAGGGGGCCATACCACATTAGCACAGAGACGCAATTGTCAGTCCAAATCCCATAGTGGTAGAGACAGTGAAAGTGTTAGTAGTAATCGAGAAGATAAGTGTTCGAAGACATGATTTGAGAAGTATAATTAAGTAAGATAACTTTACAAAGGGAAAGATATATATGATGGGGGAATGCAGAACGTAAGAATTTTAGAAGACACAGAGAATGAATGCACTTGCAACATTGCAAACGGTTTTGAGACATGTCATTTAGGGTCTCTAACCATCGATTACTATCATCTCGCGGACCCTAACCAGGTAGTCAACACCTACCAACATAACTCAGTCCACTTATCAATGACTTGATGGATTTCTGCCATGTTTTCGCTTGGTCGCCACTACCTTTCTTCCAACCTATTCCTACACCGCAAAACACAGCTCGACGAGGCAGTCGGTGGTTAGGCATACGTAACACATATCCCAACCACCTTAACTGACGAAGTTTCAATACTTCATCTATTGATCTGTCATCCTTACCTAGCACCCGTTTCCTAACAACAGCATTGCTTACTCGATAGTCCCAGGATATACGAGCAATGCTTCGGAGACAGTTATGATCGAAGACCAGCAAACTGCCAATGTCTTCTACTCTTACTGGCCACGTTTCACAGCCATATAACAGGACGGAGCGAGCTATTGCACAGTACACTCGTCCTTTGGTCAGCAAACAGATATCTCGTCTACGCCATAAGTGATGCAGGTTAGCAAAAGCCGACCGAGCCTTCTGTATCCTTGCTGAGATTTTGTCAGTCACCAGGCCATCAGCACTGATGAGACTCCCAAGATAAGTGAAGCGGTCAACATGCTCGACTACTTCACTCCCTATCACTAGTTCAGGTTCCGATACAAGGCAATCTTGAAGCCATATTTTGCATTTCGTCGGGAAGAATCGCATCCTGGATATGCTTACATTGTTGCTCAGGGTAGTCAGGAGACACTACATTTTATCAGTTAAACAAGAATAGAGAGAGTGGATATCCCTGACGGACACCACTTGAAGTTAATAATTCCAATGACAGTTCGCCATAAGCTCTCACTCGACCAGTGGTTTTCGAGTAGAGAGCTTGAGGTTGATGTACTTTTTCGGTGCACCTTTCAATGACAGAAACTACCACAGAACCTCACGATCGACAGAGTCGGATGCCGCTTTAAAATCGAGAAATACTACCATTGTGGGGCTTATGAACGTGTGTCTTTGGTCTAGGACCTGACTTAGTGTGAATATACATCAACGTCCAGGTCGGAAACCAGCCTGGTTTTCTCGAGTCTGCTCTTCACGCTCTTCCGTTAAGCGTCGGAGTATTATCGAGGCCAATACTTTAGAAACTATATTAGTTAGACTGATTCTTATGTAATTGTTGCACGAGGACTCTTATCCTTTTTATAAATTGGGACAATCAGGGATTGAGACCAGTCAGCCCAGTTTCCATATTCTACCTAAGATCTAAGTCAGTCTCACTGCTAAAACTAGATCGCAAACCTTAAAAATCTCAGGGGTTAACCTAATAGAGACTGCTGCTTTCCCTCGTTTCAGATTACCTATAGCCGTTTCAACTTCATTAAGAGTCGGAGGACTTACGCGGATTCGCCATCCAGGTCGACTGGAGATCGCGGACAACCCAAGTGTGGCGGAAGGCCAGCTGAACTGATCCCTAAAGTGTTCTGCCCATCGATCCAATCTCCTGGATTGAGAATGGATAATAAGACCATCCTTTTCCGAGATAGTTTTACTCACATTCCAGTTCTTAATACCGGTTTCCTTGATGAGTCTGAATAGTTATCTACTGTTGCCTATAGCCACTGACTTTTTCATCTCCTTTTCTTTCTCTACTCACCACTGTTCACGATCATTGCGTAGGCTTTTTATCAGCCTGCAGCTAGGATGACTCCGCTCCTCACCGTACTCAGAGCCAGATGGGATGAGTTTCCATGCTTCTCTTGGTCTAGTCGATGCTACTGAATTCCACGGTTTCTCCCAAACCTTGTGGTTTACCTTACTGGTAGAAATCACTGCTGTTTTCACTGCTTTTCGGATATCGTTCCAAGCTGTCTCGGGATGAGCATCACTTACATGGCCGTCCAACCGTTTTTCTAGTTGTTCCTGAAATATATTCTTAGCGTTTTTATTATTAAGTAGATTCCTGAGAGGTTTCCTTGCGATGTCTTTCCTACGTCCAGTAAGATGCAAACGAATACGCGCTCGCACTAGAGCATGGTCTGAATCTACACATGTCCCCAAAATGAGCAACAGTCTTCTATTGAACTCCTCCATCGGTGGCTTATAGCGTTGTGATCTAGTTGTGTCCAGCGTTGAGACGACTTTGGGGGTCGCCGGGTCAAAACATGTCTTTCCTTATGCCTAAAGTTAGTGTTAGCCAGGAATAGGCAGTTACCTGAGCATATCTGCAGCAGACGGTCGCCATTCTCTGTTCCATAATATCCACCCAGGTATCGTTCCTTTTCGCTGAGTCTACCTACTTGAACATTAGAGTCACCAGCCACTATTACTATATGAAAGCGCCTAACGCTTTGGAGAAGTTCCGACAGCTTTCTGTAAGACTCATCTTTTATCTCGTCTGAACTGCAGTCAGTAGGGGCGTAGGCAGATACGACGAAGAGGCAGCGGCGAGTGTCCTTATATTTCCAAGTTCTTACTGTCCCGTTCAGTCGGACAGCGTACAGGCGACTATCTACTGGGATCCAGTCTAGGAGGGATAGTTCAGTCCTACGACTCAATGCTATATCTACACCGGTGGGGCCACGGGAAGCAATAGCAGGGCTTCCAGATATGCGAAGCGTAAACCAAGATGATTTTCTCTCTGCACAAGGTGAAATCAGATTAATTATTTTACTAGGATCCTGTATGCCTGTTTTGGAAACGCAGTATCCATTTATGACGCGAGATTCTAGAGTCCTATCTAAGGAATCCTGTTGTCCTATTTGACACAATGTCCGTACATTAAATGCTCCAACATGTAATTTTGAGCGGAGTTTCAGGAGACCTGGAGTACCGTTTCGTGAACTCGCATCGTTTGCATTGGCAGTGCGGGTGATAAAGGAACGTGAGAAAGGTTAGTCGTGGAGATGTTAGGAGGTGTAGGAAGGATTTGTTTGTGACCAGTTCGGTCTCGCGTGTTGTTATACAGGTATGAGGGCGGATGTCACTTCCCGATCGCCCACACCATGGAAGGAAGACTTATTTAGTCCAAGGAAATCCATTTGTTTTCCCTAGTTCAAAAATAACATTTATAAAATAAGTTTTGCGAGCTCGCTTTTCTCCGTAATTCAGTTCGGTGCCTAAATATGGACAAAAGATCCTCCTGTATATATGTAGTTTGTAATCATTCTTTTTCAACAGATGTATAAAAATCAATGACATATTGACGATACTACTTTTCAGTTACACTTCATCTCATGAGAAATTCTGTTCTTATCATGCTTCCTGTTCATCCCGCTTGAATAATAAAATGTTTAGCAGTTTTGTGCATTATTATTGAAAGTCAGTGTTCCTAGTGGTTTTCGTTCTCATTCGTCATTTTTATAATTTCAATGAAATTAATATATAACTATCTCAGAGCTTAAAACGTATTGTAGTGTGTTCCAAAGAATTTTGTTCGAATTTACTCTGCTTTGTATAGGTAGTGTGGTTATCAGTAAAGTTGATTTTATGTGTTGTCTGGTAACTTGGTAAATGCCATCTTCTTAACAGTTGTTTTCAGACATTTAAGTTCAGATAATTGATAGACAATTAATATCTCATTGTAAACTTTTAATAGTCATTTCAAACACTTTACACTTTTAACAAGCTAATGATTTATTTCAGCATATACTGACAAACACAAACTTAATAAAAAGTCACTTGTATTTATCAAGTAATCATTAGAAGATCACTGAATCGAATGGATCAAAACCCTTTGTTACTGAAAATACAGAGAATCGTAAATGAAACACCGGAAAATGAGGGAGTAATATTATTGCTTATTTTAACACTTTGTAGCTGTTACTAAATGGACTAAACTCCATCCTTCCCCTCATAGTAAACAATTCTATTACAAGTCGAAGGACTCTTCGTAGCAATTTGGAAAAAAATCAATTAAGTTACTATGAAAACCTTCTAACGTCGTTTGGTGATGTGAAAAAGGTATGTTATTTCTTTTTCCATTTTAAGTTTTCAGCGTCTAGATGCTCTTGATACTTGTGTCAATAATATGTTAGAAACATGCCTTCGGATGAATGGGACGTTAACTGTAAGTTTCTTTAAGTTTTATCACCTCATTGACTAAGTCTGTTAAATCGAAGACAGTATGCTTAGTAGGAGAAGCACAAAAGTTAAAATCGGACAGGTAAGGCTTTTTAGGTATGCTACTTTTCGTTGTATTTCATTTACAGTGAAGTGGCGGAAATCAAGGCATATTTATTAGAACTGTTAGCTAGTTCGTACCAAATCTCCGTAAAAGATACAGATATATTGTCTTCCAAAATTAGCCACATAGATGATACATTTTTTTCAGCTCTTTCACGTGGCAAAGAAATAAAACAGTTGTTACAGTCAGACGAATTAACTTTCAGGTAACATAACCCAATAGTCGTTTTATTCTCCAGCTGCTCATTGACGACTGAAGTAATAGAAATTTTGGACAAGGCATATGAAAATCTGTATGAGTGGGCTCAAAGTAAGTCTTTCCTTTTTTCTTAAATGTCCTATAGATGAATGCATAAAACAGGTTCAAGAAACACCTGAAATATCTCTTCAACTTCGGCGTGCTTTTTCAGAGTTACAAAATAAACCAGTCCTTCTAAAGTAAGTACTTAGATTTATTGGCTTTCATACTCCTCCTGGAAGTATTTATATCTCCTCAGATATTCATACCATTTTTCTTCTGGAAGAAATGTCTCATTACTAAAGTTGGTCTGTGACTAATTAGAAATAGAGTAGTGATTAATTCTAATGCCTTTTTTATTACTCATTAATATTCCATGGACATGTCCTTTGGCAGGGTAATGTTCGATTTCTTATTACGGAGTAATGTCTTAATGGCTAAAGTCGTCAACTTTTAACTGTTTGGTTGCAAACTTGAACTCATCAACCTACTTTTTTTCTCAGTAACTGGGTAGTATCGTTAGTCTGCACAATAAATTTGGCTCAAAGTTGAATGTGCTAACCTGCATGTAATATGCACTACTTTTAACAATTTCTTGCCCTCCTTTATCTATTCAGTGTAGCTTCTCAGGAATACAGGAAGAAGTTATTTCAATAAATACGAATGAATGGTATTTGGAATTTGATTATCCATAACAGTACATATTGAGTTAGGTAGTGTCAAAAATACAATTTCATTATATGTCTAGTCAGATCTAAAAATTTTCCTAATATTAACTAAATGTATGGTAATCAACAAAGATAAGAAAAATGTTCGCTCAAACAAATAACATTACAAATGTTTGTAACAAAATGGTGTTAAAACTTTGAGTTATGGTAATTTACCTATAATTTTAACTGTAACTCGTGTTTAATGTAATCTATTTAATATTGTGATCAACATACATCATGCATAGCAAGTTCGATGTGTATTCTAGTTGCCAATATTATGATAAATTACATAAATCGACATATTTCGAGATACCAAAAATATGTTCCTGTAGGTCCTACCGTGCCAGGCAGATCGATTGGAGAACGATGAGACTGAAAACATCAACTCAAGAGCTGAGTGCGAAACCGTACTGCTGACTGTATAGCGGTGTGACAGCAGTTAGTTTTTTCCTTCGGACAATCAGCATCTACAGCGATACTGCCTTCGCACAGAGCAGGCAGGCATCGGAAAGGTCGACCGTAGAAATGTCATACTTCACCTTACCTCACAGATTTCTGTCTCCGGCGGTAAGGCCTTTGAAACAAGTGCGGAGCTAACACTTTAAAGACTTCCCATAAAAAGGCCGTGTGGCCACATTCCCAGGTCGTTAAGACCAACACTAATCTACCTTCCTTTTTAGGTTCCTCGAGAAACACCCTTCCATGGTGTGGGCGATCGGGAAGTGACATCCGCCCTCATACCTGTAACAACACGCGAGACCGAACTGGTCACGAACAAATCCTTCCTACACCTCCTAAGGACGAGTGTACTGTGCAGTGGTTCGCTCCGTCTTACTTTATGGCTGTGAAACATGGCCAGTGAGAGTAGAAGATATACGTAGGTTACTGGTTTTCGATCATAGGTGTCTTCGAAGCATTGCTCGTATATCGTGGGACACTCGAGTGAGCAACGCTGTTATTAAGAATCGGGTGCTAGGTACGAATAGCAGATCAATCGATGAAGTATTGAAACTTCACCAGTTGAGGTGGTTGGAACATGTGTTACGTATGCCTAACCACCGACTACCTCGTCGAGCCTTGTTTTGTAGTGTAGGAATAGGTTGGAAGAAAGGCAGTGGCGGCCAAATCAAAACATGGCAGAAATAAATGAAGTCATTGACTAGTGGACTGAGCCATGTCGGTAATTGTCGACTACCTGGTTGGGGTCCGCGAGATGATAATAATCGATGGTTAGAGACCTTGAATGACATGGCTCAAAATCGTTCGCAATGGCGCCGGTGCATTTATTCTCTGTGTTCTCTCAAACCCTGATCTTCTGGATTCTTCAACACCTCTAGTTTCGACTCTCCAAACTTTTCTCACTGAATCATACTTCTTGAATAGTATCTGCTAATCCTAACCTCTCCGATTACTTCTAATTCCCTTACTACCTCTTCTACTATTGAGATTGAATTGACGATTAATTCTCTGTGCTGATGTGGTATGACAACATGAACTGATGTACTTATGAACAAAGTTCTACGTTGCATCTGACTGACTGAGATAGGACTCTAGAATCTCGCGTCATAAATGGATGCTGCGTTTCCAAAACAGGCATACAGGATCCTAGTAAAATAATTAATCTGATTTCACCTTGTGCAGATAGAAAATCATCTTGGTTTACGCTTCGCATATCTGGAAGCCCTGCTGCTGCTTCCCGTGGCCTCGCCGGTGTAGATATAGCATTGAGTCGTAGGACTGAACTATCCCTCCTAGACTGGATCCCAGTAGATAGTCGCCTGTACGCTGTCCGACTGAACGGGAAATCCATTTGTTTTCCCTAGTTCAAAAATTACATTTCTAAAATAAGTTTTGCGAGCTCGCACTAGAGCATGGTCTGAATCTACACATGTCCCCAAAATGAGCAACAGTCTTCTATTGAACTCCTCCATCGGTGGCTTATAGCGTTGTGATCTAGTTGTGTCCAGCGTTGAGACGACTTTGGGGGTCGCCGGGTCAAAACATGTCTTTCCTTAAGCCTAAAGTTAGTGATAGCCAGGAATAGGCAGTTACCTGAGCACATCTGCAGCAAACGGTCGCCATTCTCTGTTCCATAATATCCACCCAGGTATCGTTCCTTTTCGCTGAGTCTACCTACTTGAACATTAAAGTCACCAGCCACCATTACTATATGAAAGCGCCTAACGCTTTGGAGAAGTTCCGACAGCTTTCTGTAAGACTCATCTTTTATCTCGTCTGAACTGCAGTCAGTAGGGGCGTAGGCAGATACGACGAAGAGGCAGCGGCGAGTGTCCTTATATTTCCAAGTTCTTACTGTTCCGTTCAGTCGGACAGCGTACAGGCGACTATCTACTGGGATCCAGTCTAGGAGGGATAGTTCAGTCCTACGACTCAATGCTATATCTACACCGGTGGGGCCACGGGAAGCAATAGCAGGGCTTCCAGATATGCGAAGCGTAAACCAAGATGATTTTCTCTCTGCATAAGGTGAAATCAGATTAATTATTTTACTAGGATCCTGTATGCCTGTTTTGGAAACGCAGCATCCATTTATGACGCGAGATTCTAGAGTCCTATCTCAGTCAGTCAGATGCAACGTAGAACTTTGTTCATAAGTACATCAGTTCATGTTGTCATACCACATCAGCACAGAGAATTAATCGTCAATTCAATCTCAATAGTAGAAGAGGTAGTAAGGGAATTAGAAGTAATCGGAGAGGTTAGGATTAGCAGATACTATTCAAGAAGTATGATCATGTATGATCATGTCTTCGTACACTTATCTTCTCGATTACTACTAACACTTTCACTATCTCTACCACTATGGGATTTGGACTGACAATTGCGTCTCTGTGCTAATGTGGTATGGCCCCCTAAACTGATGTATTCATGCACGAATTACCACGTTTTAACTGATTGACTGGAAGTGGCATAGATATTGTCCAAGGTATTCAAGTCTTCAGAAATTTTCCCGTATAATGGCCATCTGTCTTAAATGTCTTGAAATTAGAAAATCATATCAAATTTACCTGACCACAGATCCGCTTCTATATTTTTAGTTCGTACTCATTCTTGTTCAGCTGATGCATAAATATCACCTACATATTGACGAAACTACTTCACAGTTATGTTTCATTTCACGTTGCGACTGGTGTTTTTATGTCTAAATATGTATTTACAGATTTTCACGAAGTTAAGTTGTTGAACGTACTAGGGTGTTTACATGACAATAGTCTTTCATAGTAAATTTTACAGATCATTAGGCTTTCAAGATATCGATCTGTTTCATATCCAACAGAAGCTTTTTTGGTATCTTGTTAAATTTGTACCCCTTTTCCTGCATCTTATTTTAAAAATTCACTTACCACTGTGATATTTGAAAACGATTTTAAAATTTTTGTTTTATATTTCCTTTCTAATACAGGTACTCTCTTGATGAATATGCTGGTGCCCGTCGCAAAGCCTCTGTTAAATATTTTCTTGATATACTCACAGTTGAAATTGACTCGAACTCTAATGTCCAGAATCATTCTGTTGACATGATTCATGCGATACACATAGAAACAAAGTCACCTGATCATGTACGACTTGTGAGTGATATACTTGCCTGTGTTCATCAAATTACAGCCTCGGAGAAAGAGTATATAAATAGTCTTTGCATGGACTGTCATGATACATGTATGAATTCCTTATATTTCATGAGTTTTTTGTTTATAATTTGTGTTTGTTTAATAATTGTATCGAATCTCACTACTTACAGCCTTCTTTGAGAACCTAATTTGGTGTTTGGAAGATAATATGTTTATCCAAAAGCATTAGGTTTCATAACTTCATTGCTTCACTGCTTATCCATATTTCTTTATAGCCCTAATAAACTCAAATACTAAACCGAGATAGCTGTTCACTACCAGCAGTTTATTAGTACTTAATATTTTAGACGTCAACAAGATTGTTACTAATCACTGGTTCGGTTTTATTTTATCAAATTAAGTCACGAATACCATTGTTTTGTAGTACCCTCGAGAAGGCTATTTCTTATTGTCTAACTTCAAATGCATTCACATATTGATTCATGTTTGACAGAAGTTGAGGACTAAGTAAATTATTAATGAAAAAGTATAGGTGTTTGTGGACTGTATATTTGATGACAGAAAGCTGAAGAGAAACTTTGAGATAATATACAAAAATATCATCACAAAACTCATAGATAATCCAAAGTATCGCTTGTTTTAACACAGCTATCTACATACATATGGACATTACTAATCAACTCTTCTTAGTTCCTTGCAGTTCACAAACTTATCAAGATTACCATTTCTTAACCGAGTATCAGGCTACAGAGAAAATTAACTATCAGCCTAGTTTACACTAGTCAAAAATGGTGGGTGCTGTTCCCTCCAATCAGTTTCATTTTAGTGCGTGAAGAATTACTAATTACGAAAAATTTCCAAACTCGTTTAAGAACAGGCCCGTATGGTCGGTAATAATGATGAATGAATATCGCTCAGCATAAACTAGAAGTGAAAAGTTTAACGCCCATATCATCAGAGATATTCACAGGTAAAACTTATCTGCGCATTTTGGTCACCTTTTTATTGTGTTTGATAATTTACTTCTGAATGAGCTAGAGATAATAATGTGTGTTAGAAAATATAAATGCAACATGGTAATTAAACAAAGTGGAAGATCATGAAATGAAATCAATTCTAATAAGATGATCGTAGCTTTTATAGGTTCTGAAGATTAGTGTGTAAGTAATGTGAATTGTAATTTTCATTTTCTCGGTTATTATCCATTTTATATGTATTTGTAAACTGAGACGTTACACAATTACATACGATTCTTTAATCATGGCCTAGTCTGATATGCATTGCATCTGGGATAGGAGTGAATTGTGGAGAGCTAACATCGAACAGATCAAGACTCACTATCAGTTGATAAAGCCATCAAACGTTGGTCTATATAGGTTTCAACAGTTTAGTGGTTTGCGTCTAGCCAGAATGTACCTTCTTTACCAGGGAAGTAGGCAGAATATTGTGAGTAGGGAGAACTGTAAAAAAAGATCAAAAGAAGAGGTGAGCTGACTCAGCAAGCACACAGAACACACTTTTAATGAGAATAACAATCAATAATCACGCAGATTCAATGAATCTGGAAAGCGTAACTAGGAGCGGATAACTTTAAGATTTTAAACCGTCAGATAGACTTGATTGAAATTCGCGCTTTCTTTGCTAAGTAACATATTTGGTAGTTCGTCTTGGTAGTGAAAATCTTATTCTGTATCTATTATTTGTCTTTGTGTTTCTACGTAATATTCCAAAATTTTACTACATTTTTTATCCCTAATTTTTTATTGTAATTTCTGTTTTTGGCCTTTTCAAAATCATAAATTCACTATCTTGCCACTCACCGTGTTCATTCTGTCTCACTTCTGATATACTTTCTTGAATCGGGTGGATAGATATTGTTACCAGGTCCAGGTCTTACGTAGTATTGACTGACTAAGGATTTGTTCGTTGAAACTATATTAATGCGTAATTACTTGCTTTTGTATCTTCTTAGTAATTGCAGACTTGAAAACCATTTGTTTGGATACAATTACCGAGAGTTTATGTCACTATCTTAAAGTAAGCTTATTATTATATTCGATTACAAGGCTCTTATATGTATTTTTTTACTAACCGTTTTAGTGTGTTAGTTTATTTACTATACGGTAAGCACCTGCTCTAACATAAGTATTACTCATCGACAAACGCAATAGAAAGCATTTGTTAAATCAGTTGCAGTTTTAAGAAGTGCGCGTATAAGAGTTTTACTTCATGACTGTACCACTAACCGGACAGAAGAGAGACAACGCCCATCTAACAGCACAAGAACGAAAAGCCTTAAGGAAACTCAGAACTAGAGAGAATATTATCTTAGTTCCAGAGTACTAAGAAGCAAAACAGTAATTATTGACAAGAAAAAAAATGCCAGGAAAGCCGATAGAAGTGTATATAAGCCAATCGACACAAATCTAATAAAAATATTAGAGAACTGAATCCGAAGGACTTTAAACAAGCTTGTCAAAGCAAGACAAATATCAAAATAAGATCAGTGGACAATGAAATACATTGAACTATTTATCGCATGATTCAATGTTAGGCCGAAACTACACCAACACAACATTCCACTACGTTCAATTGTATTCCTCCCTGGAACCCCGACATACAACTTGTCAAGAGGAATTTCAAGAATATTGAAACCTTTAGTGGATTCATCTAATCACTCCATGAAATATCCCATACAATTCCTCGATAAACTCAAGGAGATCCAAACCGACAGCGACGAACTGATCACATTTTTTGTCGTAAAAACCCTATTCACTTCAATCGAGGCAAACTTAGCTAACGAAACTCTGTCCCTGCTCCTCACCAAGGACACGAATCTCCCAAAGTGTACGAGGAACTTCAGCGTAAAATTCTACTAGGACTCATCGGTTTGTGCTTAACAATGTGTTTGCAATTCAACAACAAAATCTACGAACAAGCTTTATTCAGGGGAGCGAAAACGCTGCAACACACATGAAGCATGAAAAAAGAAGAGGAATATCTGATGACTATCCTTCTGAAGAACGGCTACCACGCAACTTCAACATTATCAGCAGGAGTGTAATCAGGTACAGAAACCAACAAACGGATCATCCTACCATATATATATATATATATATATATATATATATATATATATATATATATATATATATGTCAGAAGTTGCAGAGATTACTGAGGCCGCTTGGAATAGGCTTGACCATACATCATCGTTAATTAGGAATTTGGTCGAATTAGATCATCACTAGATTATATGTCCCACCTAAATATATATCATTACGGTCACTACGTTTGATCTTATACACATAATTCGGTTATTCGTCTTGCAGTAATGAGTCTTCGGTTCTAACTAGTTTATTGTTTGTTCGAGATAATACTCATATTTTCGCCAAAAGTAGTCGTTCACAACCAAGACATTGGTAACTGATCATAATATGACCTATCCACGTCAAGCATTAATTTGCAAGCTATGAGACCAAGTAGAACAGAGAAAATGACTGCGATAGACGTCGGTGTTATTCAAATGCTAGTTATGGTCTGTAAAACTATGAAAATCATGCTTTATGATATGGTATGGACCAAATTACAAACAATATAATCGATCATTTCATGTATTATATGTGGTTTCGAGGGTCTTGTATCAGTTTTTTCATAGATGGCAACAGCACAGTAAATCAACCACTTTATGAATGGAGACTGTTCAGGAACGACAAAGCAATCGAGAAAGACGAGCTTTTGAGTTCACTGAATATTAAAATCTATGAAGAAATGTATACAAAACATAAAAATAACAGAGTAGAATAAATTTTGTTACTGATAATATAGTTATTGACAACACTCGTATGAAGTATGGTAGTAAATTCTCATAAGGTATTCTCAGTTACATATTGTATTGATTATTGAATGTTGGTTGTTTCAGATGAAGCATATGACAACGAGATATTGTTTCTAAATACACTAAATTTTTAAGTCAAACCAGCCATTGATGTACTATATCGAACCTATCACGTATGTCCGTTAGTTCAAAGGGTCATGTCATAAGACTTTATGAAAGACTTCATCGTATCTCGAAATGTTGTTAATTCAGTTAATGTTGATAAGCTGTGAAGTTTCAATAATCTGTAACTTCAGTCTTTGGTAAGTTTGCACTTAACTTGTGTGCCGGGCAAGTGTGAGGAGCAGTATATGAGGTTGTTTGGAAGAGCGAAAAACGAGAGACGACTCAGTAAGCACAAACTAAAGGTAGATTATACAACTTAAGGATCAAGTTGTAGTTATGGTAGTCGAAAATTGTTGTGCGAATTCACCTACTTCGGCAAAAATTTGTGGACTTAGATTCCGACAACAAACTTCAGATTTATCAGTTCAATTATCCGTCTCTACATGATTCAATTTGATCTACTTTCCTTATTTTAAGATTTGGTTTATCTTTAATTTCCTTAATTTCAAATAATGTAAATCACTTTGCTACTACTACTATAATGAACAAAAACGTAAGACCAGATGGAATCTGTGACTTAGTTGAAAAAGACTGAGTTTAATACTTAAAATATGTGCACCTTACCTCCAAGTTGCAAAACAAGCAGATTTTCGGTCGTCTTTCACATGTCTTCTCGTCTTCGAAACAGGGATCGCGCCATACATCCAGATCTGATACTTCGCTTCAGAGCAACACTCCACTTGCTACTACTTATAAGCCACGTTGTGACTAGTATTCACATTGATACCCGTCCCGTATATTCCGCGTTCTATTTTTCGTTTCATTTGATATATTAAGTGACAAACAATTGTCCCCTACATCACTGAAGTTAATTCTGTATAAGATTTTAAGACGGAAATGTGCTAATAATCTGTTGCCATGTTCATAATTGTTGGTCGCCAATCATGTGTCTGGGCTTAACATGATCTAGCGTAGTGGTCTACTTATATCACAATCTAGTGTATCAAATCTTATGATATCGTATTATCACTTTATTCGCGTTGAACATCAGAAACTCTCCTTGTCTTTAATTCCTCCTTTATATTACAATTCAAATTTATTTTTTATGCAATGAGAATCAGATTTTTTTCCTTTCAAAGTTGTTGATTTAAATGTAAATATGCATGTACTGTATATTTAGGTTAATGATTCATATTAACCATTCGAGAATACTTTCATACTTTCTAGTTGAACATGGAAAATCTGTTGGCATCTCATCATGATGCCGTTACATTATATAAAATGAATAATGTCATAAGATTTTATCAACATACATTTAGGTAAGTGCGACTGTAGTTAATGAAGCGAAGACTTGTTTAATTTCCTGTCAGATTGTATATGTATGCACATAAGACTTATTTGTTGATTTAGTAAAAACTGAGTACTAAAAAGAAATAGGTTTAATGTGATATACACCGATACACCCTTGTTAAGAAGTATTGAAATTTCTAACAAAAATAAAACAGTATGTAAAGCATAAGATTACTAACAGCCTAATAAGCTTTAAATACCTATCTAGCCTAATTGATATATGGAGTTAGGAAAGTACTGATTATCACTATTCTGTAGGACATCTTAAGACTGCAGTGAAACATTAAAACGTAATGAACATCAAATGGTAATCACTTAATGTAAATATTCTCGGTGCCGTTTATGTGTTAAGTCGATACGTAGTGCTTAAAAGTTGCATACTAGTACGAGATAGTTCCCATTTGGTAAGCAGTATTTTTTTAGTTGATCCCATTTTATGACAAAAACGTTTTATAACTAATTTATCTGATAATAAACCCTGTTTTCGTGAAGTAGCTTGAATTTAGTCTAGTCGGGTATTTGAAGTTTGCACATCGTCGTTGATGATGTATCTTTATATAAGGAAAAGTTCGATTTTGCTACGGGCTTTATTTAAGAAAGACTGCAACCAGGTTGATGTTTCAAGGAAAACTTTTAGTATTCGTTGTACATATTTAACATTGTTTTCATGTAAATTTATTTCTTAATCTTATTATACAAAGTTTCCGCTCTGATAAGATACTAACTAACGAGAAAATTTTTCAACGATTAATCAGTATCAACTGATTTTGCCAATCAAAATCCACCCTATATTCAAATGTTTGGATTTCACACAAACTGGAATAACCTATCATGAAAAGAACGACTCTAACCAGCTTCAGATTAATTCAATATACTTATTTTCTTATCCTGTAAAGCAGAACCAAAGACAATTACCACTGTTTTATTAAAACGTCATTACTTAAAATTCCAAAAGACAAGGAGCGATTGTACAGTTATTTGACTAACTTACCTCATAAAGTTGATACTTAAATTACCGCCTAGGTATTTCATAATCAGTTACTAAACGACAGAAGCAACTCTACCTAGTTGCTGGGTGATGGTTATGGAAATCACCTCACTTCCTTGAATTCGTACAGGCACGTAGTATAATTTATTCTAAAGTTGAGTATAGTTCATTTTTTAGTGCACAAATCCTTGCGTAATCGATTAGTTCCAATAATGTCATATTTGTCGTAAATTTTCTTAAAAAGCAATCTTCTAAACAGTGTATATTATTTTGCCTAATTTTTACTTTAGATCACTACTTAAATCTACCGCCTCACTCAATTTATGCCTAGATGAAATCCAAAAACTCTGTAAAAGGCTATTACTTAGCACTGTAAAACAATTTGTAAAACAAACTTTAGAACAAGTGAGAATTCTTCTTTGAATGTTTTGGTTAATATATGGTGTACAGTTCATTTTTAATGAGGTTACAGTGGCCAGTACAAACGTTCACAAATAAGTGCTTTCAATCAGCCATAGACCATATCTATGCTCCTGTTATACGTCTTTGAACTTCCTGTAGATTAAGCTTGTTCAATGACTATGAAAAAGCTGTTTGCAAATCGTAACACAAGTATAAAACAAACCACTCATTTAATGCAACAAAATTTCAGGCTAATAGAATTTTCTATATCAGCTTTTGAGATTTTGTCGGTAAATAGTTTGCAACATATTACCAAAAACTCTAGAAGATACACCTGGTGAACACTATTTTGGTAAATGAGTTGACAAAATAGTTGCAGTTGCTTTTATTTTAATGACTTGAACAAAAACCTACGCGACTTTCAGTATTTGAGCGTAACGTCAGGTCAGGTTTGCAAACAGCGAATACCAATTCAGTAATGTTATTAACCACGTAGACGTATCTGACTTACAGGAATCTTAAGACTACTAGTTTTTTTTAATCCCAATCGATTTGAGATTTTCATATTTTTCATACATATGAGCCTTTCATATAGCAGTTGTACATGATGTATTCACCGGTTAATACTTGTTTTTTCTCGATAATACAGATTATTGGTTTGATTCGATGTACCTTATTTCTCACTGACATTTGGTTAGACACATGAAATATTAAAACAATTTAAGTTCAAACCTTTTCAAGACATCTTTCCGCAATGCATGTTAACTTCGCTTGTATAAATAGTTTGAAAAATTGTGACAATGTTCTAGAAGCTCGTGATTGTTGTTTAAGGTCCACCTTGTCTATCAAGTAGCTTAATTTAGAGATAGAAACAGCCTATGCAAACGCCTGGAAATTATGTTTTACGTACTGAACATTCTCCCATAAATTGCAGTTGTAACTCATAGTCTATAAGAATCTAACTCCATTACATGGATGATAACTTACACTATAATTCGATACGAGATCCGAATATCAACTAAATTATCTCAATATAATAAACAAGGTGGTTTTGCTTTATCGCTGTCAAGCACTTTTGTTTTGTGAAGATGACCTACGATTCTGAAGAAAGGGGACCAATATTTTGAGGTGCATAATTTAAACTACTGTTTGGTCATTATTGTGTTGATGAAATATTTTCTAATAAACAGTCTGCATTTTTTCCATGTCATAAATTACTAGGTATTCTTTGCTTATCATCTTAGAATAAGTCGAATTATCTGTTGGCCATTTTCTGTTCCTTTTTAACTTTCTTTACAATTTATACTAGCCTGATCACCCAAACCTAGATTTATCTCCGAATGAACTAATCACTGATACTCTACAATTGCTCATCCAAATCGTCGGTGGTCAGGATATTTCATTACTACCAAACGATGAAATTAAAGTTGAACGTACAGAGGTATATTTTTTTCATTAACTTAGCATGACGTTTTTAGAACTGTTTGAATGAGTAGGCCCTTTGATAAAACTTCCCCGACTTGACCTCCATAAATGTTACTTTTTATTCCAGTAATTCTTATGTGGGATGTATTGGGCTTTTGGTTAAGTGTGAAATAAAGAACTAGCTTTCAAGGTGACCATGATAATCTGAATATATATTAAAAATCAGGAATCAGTAGAACTACAGAAGCACATAAAGATATTTTGTATAAAACGTGCATGTACTAATCGCTGTAGGCTTTCTCTTCACTCCTAATATTTACTTCTGACCCCATTGTGCATATTTCGTATTTTCTTCAAGATACTAGTACTATTTCTCACTTACAAACATATATGCAGTTACTGATGTAGGTTAAGAGACAAAAGGCATTTATTAAGATTAAAAGTTTCTTAGTTAGTCTACAGGGTAGTAGTCCTTTTATCCTAACACTTGTGTTTGCGCGAAACTACTAAATCGTTATTTTCGAAACAGGGAACGTTTTATTTTAATGATATATGACAATTTATCGAAATCCAAGTTCCATCACAAAAACGAAGAATCTGTCGGGATATGTGGCCCCAGTTCCCTCCTTTAAAGTCCTACCTTGACATGGTGGTCAGGCTTGCCTATCGTGATGACCCAACCGAGCTATATTAGCTGGAACATATGTTCCTGAAGGTTCTACCATGCCAGGCAGGTCTTTGGAGAACGATGAGACTAAAAGCAGCTATTCAAGGTTTGACGGCAAAGTCGTATTGCTGACTGTAAAGGGGTGTGACAGCAGTAAGGTGTTTCCCTCAGATAACCAGCATCTGCAGCGATGCTGCTTCCTCACAAGGAAGAAAGGACTAGAAAATATCGCACCTCACGGATTTCCATCTCCGGCAGTAAGGGCTGCCCACTAAGGGTTTTCAAGAGCGGAGCTAGTACTAAAAAAACCTTTCATAGAAAGACCGTGCGTGACCGGCCTCAAGCAGTTGTCCCTTGGGCTTTGCGGTCATGCTCCCAGGTCGTTAAGACCGACACTAATCTACCTTCCTTTTCAGGTTCCTCTAGAAACAACCTTCCACGGTGTGGGCAGCCGGGAAGTGACAACCGCCCTCATACCCATAAAAGCATACCCTTCTTTATAAAAATGTATAGTTTAGAGGACATTAATATTTGGTCGGTATTCCAGAATGGCTTTCTCCAAACCATTGGATTAGAACCGGTAAATGTGACGTATGCCTTGACCAATGTACAAGTGGATCTGTTGCTAACCATCTATATCGTAATGCAGCGGATATCGTAATATCATTTTCTAAGCCTTTTTTCAATTCACGGAGAGCTTGTGAAAAATACGATTTAGTATCCTTCAGCTTTACAGGATCTCTAACACTAGCAACATGTTTAGTAACCGTTTCCCTACACACCTGAGTGGTTAAACGGACTTTAGTAACTCGTAACCTTTGGCATACTTAACTGTGTAGTTCTGTCTGTGCAGTGAAATATTTTTTATCCATTCCAAGCTATATGAAAAACAAGATTTATTTTGAGGAAGACTTCTCTGGTCCACTTCTCTATTCGTGTCTGCACTACGAACGTGTCTCCAACAACACTAGTATGTGACTATTATTGTTCCGATATTCACCAACGTGACACGTCAATGAATTAAAGACTACTATCTCATCATTCATCGTCAATACAGTGCACATAGTCGCTTGAAGGTACTTCATGTTTCACAAGCAGTGTGGTTACTCAGAAACCACACTGTCATAATAGGGTTCAAATGATCCACATTTATTCAACTGGACTGGTGCTCATTAGAACCTCCACTTCTTTTCACTTGAAGTAGTTGGTCTTAGCATACAGTTATTATTACGAGTACATGCATACTTATACTCTTGCCGCTTCTTATGACGAAAGCGAAGCTACTCAAATTAACTCATCTATCGTCTTTATTTCAGATGATCGACTGCTTGGTAACTCCTTTGATTACCTACTGCGAATTGTCTGCCGGCCTGCTGACCCTTAATTCATTATCTCACACTAAACAACTGAACGACCAACAACTCATTCTTTCACCTGATAGTCCTTCAGTGTCAGTATACCTAGCTAACTGTTTCAATATAATTCAAGTTAGTCTTTCAGAAGTTCCCTTCGGTGCTAGTCTAGTTGAACAAATCGCACTGAAGTTGGATAAGTGCTTGGATTCATTGGTTACTGCGCAAGTTTCATTTATACTTGAACGGACAGGGCTTCTGTTAGTGAACCAACGACTCGACGCCGTTCAGAATTCCAGTACATCTCATTATCCAATATTGGAAATTCGCGACATGATGGTGAGTTACTTAGTCTCTTTACATCTAACCGAAATGCATATTACGTACCTAATTTTCCCTAACCTCTTATTAACATAATGCCTGATGCGTGTAACGTTACCCTTTCACCACAGACTACCGCTGGTTACTATACTTAGCTAGTCATCGGTTTGTTAAACAAAACTGTTACATAGATGAAATCACAACCTCGAAATGTTCATGTTCGTCGGAGCTGGCCAGATCTACTATTCTATATACCATTTCAGGCTATAACGTAAGTGATGCTAGTTCAAGTCTGTCCTTTGAAGGCTCGAAACTATCTCGAATCACCTGGTATGCGGAATATTATCGATCTCCCTAGACTACAAATAATTAGTATTTTGATATTTGGTATGGCCTTTTTGAATCCGTAGAATTGGACGTAACAATTACTATCGATATATCGACGGTCGTAAAGTGGCTTTTACGGGGTTGTTCTCATCTAATCATGAGACTGAAAATTTAGCACCAGCATAGGGCAACATTTCTAATGGCCGGTAAGTTTCTGTCCTTTATCGCCTAATTTCAGTTTGGTCAGTTGAAACGATAAAATTTTTGATGATCACTTCTCATTAACACTTTATCCCACTCTACCCTTTAGATGGACTTCAACAATTACTTATCGGACCCAGACAAACTATCCCTTCCCGATGTGAACAAACTATGTTCCCAACAGCTACGGAGGTTGGTTCGTCGCCGTTCTGCCGACCAGATTCATAGTTACTACCAATCCGTTCATCAAGCAATCACGAATGTAATGAAACCGTGTTTGGACAAAGAGTCGACCGTAGAATTGTATACTCCACAGCATGTTGCTGAACTCATTCTCAACTTCTGATTTTTTCTGTAAAAATTAAAGCGTCCCGCACTCACTGTTTTTCACTGAAAGAATTTCTATTCCGACCGAGTACATAGACAGTTACCACATTTCTAAATTCTAATAAACCTCTGTCAGTTTACTAAGTACCCATTGCTTCGAAAATTAAAACGAAATGTTACATATGATACATTGGTTGGCGAAAATAAAATATACGATGTGTAAATTATGCCTCTGTGTCCATAGCTTCACCAGATGAGTCGCTTTCGGGGGAAACATGTGAAATTAGGGGTGAGTCTGATTGCTCGTTTCCGGGAGATAAATGGTCCATGTCTTCAGGGCCTGCTAGCTTCACACCTACGACTGTAGGTTTCGCTGGTTGCCCATTACTAGACTGACTGTCGTCTTCACTTTGAGTCTTTCCATTCTCCATACTTTCAATAGGACATACCTTATTAATTTCATCTTCACTGTCACTGCAACTGCTGATACTATCCATAAGTTTGCTTTCCTGTGCAGATGGAACCTCATCCAAAGTTGAACTCGGGCGGTTGTTTATTTCGGGATTCTTTTCCTTTCTTTCTGATCGGACGGTTCCGTTGCTGTGACTTTGCTTCACTGAAACATCTCGATGTTTCTTCGGTTTGGACTCTCGTCTGTCATCGGAATCCCTTTCGCTGTGACGATATTTGTCACGGTCTCTGCGGTCAGGCCCTCGGTTTCTCTCACGTTCTTTTTCCCGATCTCTTTCGCGTATTTTTTCGCGATCCCTTTCACGATCTCGTGTCCGATCCCTCTCACGAATGTTTCTGTTTGGTCTGTCACGACGGTCGCCTCGGTGACCTTTAGATCGACTGCGTGAATATCGACGACTGGAGTGTGAACGAGAACGTCGATACTTCTTGCGATTGTGAGATCTGGAGAAGTAAAAGATCATTAGTAACGAAATTTCCCCAACGAATGGAAGAAAAATATGCTGTTGACAAATGCAAGATTTCCTAAAGTCTAAAAAGCTATCTTTGAAGAGATCAGCAAAAGTGATATGTGTTAAGCTATTTTAAGTTAGAAAAGCATTTAGACTGTTCAATTACTCAAAATCAGGGTTGGGATAGTAAATATTTTGTGTACCGGAAACTCGCTTTTTTACTGCACTCCAATATTGGAGAAAGGAATAGTTACCGTCCCCGTAGTTATGAGTTTCGAATGGTTGAGATACTGGGTCTATCCTTTCTCAACTTTTTACAATGTGGTCTGTAGAAACTTAAACTTAATTTGGTGGGACTTGACGAAACCCTGACATTTGCCAATGAACTTTTTTGTCATTGCGGTAATTAAAGCAAAAACTAATAAGAAATAGCATCATATTCTAAGTTTAATTCGCTGGTACGCGTTCGTTGACTGAAACGCTCTTTTTAACAGCAGCCTTCCTTAAAGTTGATGACATTTTATAGCGCCTGAAGTAGATTGAGTCAGTGAAGTTAAAACAAAAAGGGTCGAGGATACTCAGGTAACAAAGTGGTGGAAAACGAAACGGACGTTCGTACTGCTGTAGAAGAACAGAGGACCTAAGACTTTCAGTTAATAACATTGCCAAATACAGGGTCATGGACGCAGTTAAATAATGACTAACATAATCCGAGTCCGACTACAATATCTAAACGACATTTATAGCATGAAACTACGATATTCTGACACTTAATCGCACGTTCTCTGAATGTCATTTTTTGACTAGTAATTAGATGCTTTTTGACTGTTCAAAGGCAGTATCGCTCAAGGTATTGTTCATCCGTGAAAAATACCAATGCATTCGACAATGCTAGGCTTTTCTAACCTTCAGCTAAGAGACAGTAAATCCAAGGATAATGAGTGGCTCAACTAGCATAACTAATTAAGTCACAGTAACTTGGCCAACGTAACAACATGGCACCTTAAACTTTGTGCTTGACGGAATGCGAATATATATATTTGGCAACTACTTTCATCGACTTATAACAAGTGACTATTCAGGCTTTCGCTTCGGATGTTTTTGAATGGGTCATTGTTAAGAGAAAATGAAACGGGCTTACCTCGACCTGGCATGATCACCTCTCCGATAGTCTTTGCTTCGCGAACGTGTGCGATGACGATGCCCACGAGATCTGGAACGAGACTGTGTTGGAGACCGTCTTCTATCTCGACTGTGACGAGAATGGGAACGTCTTCTATCTCTAGACCGACTACGATATCTTCGTGAGGTTGATCTGCGTCTGGATCGTGAACGTCGAGCTCGGGATCGGGAACGTGAGCGCCTGCGATCACTGTGCTTACTACCTTGAAAGCAGAAAATTACATCAGGAAAGACTGAGAAAGTAGCTCATACTAATAACACGTATGACAGCTGATCGAAACTCAGTACTGTGGTTAAAGTACGGTTTTAAAAGTTTGAGCAATCAAAACTTTGAGAATTTATTCCAGCAAACAAACTGTGCGGTAAGGTAAACTCATGCACTGCACAATCATCTCTACTGGTATGAGTCTAACCCAGGACCTTGCACGCGAACGATTAACCACTGAACCAGTATCCAAAAGTGTTAATATTTAAATTGATTCAAGCCAAAGCATCGCGTAACCACACCCAATATCTTCGGCAGATAACTCTACACGGTCGAAATCCATTGGTTACGGTTTCTCATTAGGACATCAAGAATTTCAACACGAAGCAAGTCACCAGTGAGCACATTTTTATGATCTCCATTTAAAGAGAGATTGTTGAGTATCACTGAAGCCGTGAAATGGTCACTGCTAACCCACATTTGGAAGCCTGCATCTTAATGAAACTCAGTTTTTACAACCATATGATGAAAATCATAAAATTGTGCTCACTATCACTAGCTTTGTGAGGAAATTTTCACTTCAATTAGATAATCGTCAGGCGCTATCGGAAAAAACAATGATTTTAAAGCATTTATCACGACCGTAGCTGCTACCTTGACGCGGTGGTCAGGCTTGCCCCTCGAAATGCAAAATGTTGCTTCGCGATTGGCTTGCATCGGCACCTGAACTAGTGATAGGGAGTGAAGTAGTCGAACGTGTAGAGCGCTTCACTTATCTGGAGAGTCTCATCAGTGCTGATTGCCTGGTGACTGACAAAATCTCAGCAAGGATACAGAAGGCTCGATTGGCTTTTGCCAACCTGCGTCACTTATGGCGAAGGCAAGATATCCGTTTGCTGACTAGAGGACGAGTGTACTGCGCAGTAGTTCGCTCTGTCCTACTTTATGGCTGTGACACATGGCCAGTAAGGGTAGAAGACATTTGTAGGTTATTGTTTTCCGGTCATAGGTGTCTCCGAAGCACTACTCGTATATCTTGGGACTATCGAGCAAGCAATGCTGTTGTTAGGAAGCGGGTGCTAGGTAAGGATGACAGATCAATAGATGAAGTGGTGAAACTTCATCAGTTGAGGTGGTACGGACTTGTGTTACGTATGCCTAACCACCGACTGCCTCGTCGAACCATGTTTTGCGATGTAGGAATAGGTTGGACGAAAGCTAGAGGTGGACAGGCCAAAACATGGCACAAATCCGTGATGCCACGCTAGTCTAGGTAGCTACACTCCATTAGCATAGAGAAATGAAACGGTCGGATCAAGTTTCACAGTAATAAAAGTAACAGTATTGTGGTAATAATACGACGTAAGAAATGAAAAATTTGAGGGACTGAATTCAGGATTTTGGAGAAGACAAAAAGTTGATTTATATGCGCCCCTACAAACAATTTTGATTTCTACCATTCATTCTCAATCCCCCATTAACCATTCGGCATTATTACAAACACTTGGTGTCCTAGCATTGTAACCTAACATCTTACTTTTATCGACTTCATTATTATTTAAGATAAATTGTTTTATGGCCTTGAAAAATATACCAGTTCATTTTATCAATCGTTTTAATGTTTCGATGCTATTAATTGCTTAAGAGTATCACGCTCTTCGAACAATGACAAATTCAATGGGTGAGGCATTTAAAAGAATACTTCGGAGTCATTGAAGCACTAATCAAGTTCATCGATGAGGAAATATGGTATATTTTGCGAAATGAGAATGGATCTTTATGGGTTTATAAATACTTTAACGAGTTTTACTTTACATATAACAGACAATAATAAACCATCCGTCTGTCAGTTCTTATTAGCTGTAACAATCTATCAGTCATAAGCAACATAAAACCAAGTAATTTTGGAACTGTTCGGGCTGCCAAACATAACCATACAAAGAATCTGAGTTAGCAGGAATTCAGTGCATACGCACGTCGCTAAATCTCTAAATTGAATGAGGATTACTTTGTTTGATTAAAAAATCATGTCTCCCTTTTCTCAACTGCAAGTTGCAATATAACTCAAAGTATTTTGAACCAGAAAATACATTAATACAAATTACCTAGGAATCATCATCGCTACTTTCGCATAATACGATAAGATGAAGTGAAAACGAACGTGCCGAAGTCTCTAAAGCAAGATATCCAGGATCTACACACTTGACTATGCTAAGCAAGTAGGAAAATCTATTCCGACAAGGTTCTTAATTACACTATACGTTACGTAGGATAGCCGTAAAACTAACATTACCAACATAAACTTACTATGGCCACCAACACTTGAAGTCTGCTCGTTTGTGGCCGAGCGTTTTGATGTCTCATCAAGCATTGCAACATTGTTAGCAGGTTTAATGATCGCACAGTTGGAGTGTTGTACCATTATCTGTAACAAATTAATTAATAACAATTACAAACCTGACGGCCGTTTAACGTGGCTCCCATTAGGCCAAAAGCCTTTATAATAGACGGCTGTTGAGTAAACTCCACATAAGCAGCTCGATCAAAGTCAGTCCCCGCCATTCGTACACAGCGTACTTCAGCATGTTTGTTGAAGAACTCTAGTACCTGAAATCAAATGGACTTGAAAGAAAACGAATAAAATGGATGGATATTGCCAAATGAGAACTTATAATGCAAAGCTAACTGGTGAAAAACAGGATATGCATGACTAGCACTTAGGTAACCCTGTTAGTTACCTTTAGTCAGATGCGAACTCCTTGAAATCGCAGAATCTGGTAGCGCATAGGAATATCCTATAAAATTTGTAAACCAAACTGGTTGTCTTAGCAGGATAAAGGGCCTAGTTAGGCCTCACGCAGTGATAACTAATTAGTAAAAACAAAAAAGAAAAGACAAAAATGTACAGAAAAGCCACCGACCCTTTGGAATCGCAGTCACAATAGCATTATTTACGTATCGATTAGGTGTAGTGCTGTTGCGATGGCACACTGTCGATGACCAGTAGCGCTGGAAAACACGATACACAAAAAGCACAGAGGAATTGTTAGGTACTATTGTTAATTTATTCGAAGCATATACAAAAGACCTGAAGTCAATAACCTGAGACGCACAAATTAAAAGCCTTAGAATATAACTTAGTGAACTAGGTGGGAGCTCTCACACTTTATAGTGCTCCGATATTCTCTGTTGAGTGTTTACTTCTTCGATTGTGCACACTTGTGCGTGGAACATATTTACTAACTTCACTAACCATAGCGACCATAAGGCATCCTGAGCGGAATTGAGGTTTCGCTTGTCATAAGCATATCAAGAACGTACCTGGTCACCTGTGGTCTTTGGGTCAAGATTCGTAACCAAGATTGTTCTTCGAATTTCTTCAATGCGGCTGCCGTCAGTAGTGGCAGGAAGAGGAGGATACAGGGGGAATGCCAAACTGGAAAGACGAGGCTCCATGGTATGTATCACCTGTTCACCAGGACGACCAACCACCATGCTAATAACATCAAGAGGCCAGTCAGCAGTGCGTGGGAGAACGCCAGCAGCGGTGTTCGGGGGTGCTCGAACAAGGTTGGCATACTTTTCATCAGGAATAACATCGCGGTCACCCGAGAGTGGGAGAACTATCAGCGCCCTATCAAGGAAGACGGTATTGTTCAGATGCAGCGCAACCTCGGCATTAATGGGTTCTTGGTAGCGTATATAGCAAACCTGGTTCATAGTTTAGTATCAAGACCAATTACCTTGCTAGCCAACTCCTCTTTATCATCTGATGGATAAACTACGACTTCCTCCAACACCCCAACATGACCGAACAATGTGCGTAACTGTTCGGACGTCGCAGACGGCGACACATTAGTGACTTGGACGATTCGGTTCTTCCTAATCACCGACATTAATTGATGTCGGAACCAAACCCGCGCTTAGTACTTAGCATGAACTTAAACAAACATCCATTTGTTATATAGACTTCTGTATGCAAAGACTCACTATTACAGTAACACAACTTCAAGAAAATAGAGTTTGATTTGCAATTGAAATTCTAAACCCTTCTTGTGGCAGTGGATATCAGTCACAAACTTCGCACCAATGACCAGAACATTACAGAGAAATCGTCATAGTGAGTTAAATTTCTTGGCTAACACCTTCCGCATATATGGAGCTCCTAATTTTTGATCCCATCCATTGGTTTAAAATCTTTTTTTTTATAAAACATGAGTCCTATCTCACTTTTTCAGACATACATTAATACGCTTAGATTATTTTTCCTGTCGACATGTCTTAAATATTATTGACAAGTTATAAATGCATCGCAAATCGATGGTATGGGCAAAAACTCGAAATACTTCATCTGAAAGCACTTGCAGTTGAGGCTGCTAAATCACGACTTCCAGAACCAAACTTTAATGGAAAGGTAATGACCTTATAATTCGCTCAACTAGGACATCACTATGACTGACTTAAAATTTGTCGGACCAGCGAAATATTATTGGGTCCTAGCTAAATCATTTGACAACCCAGTCAATGAATTTCAAGCATTCTAACGAATCTTATCAAGGCCAGGGACAACGGATGTGCATCAAATTGATAGCTTGTCATGGACAGTTGCATGAGGCAGGTATTTTGCCTTGTACTTCCATTAACATTTGACACTAATGTTTACTGCCTGTTTATTCTGGCGAATAGCCTGATTGTGACGGTTATATAATAAATGTAGAGCATTAACCATGAGGTGTGACTTCAAAGCAATCTAGAAGGCCACACTATTACCATCTAACTGTATTAGGCCAACAACCATCGACACAGATCACCTTCGTTGGTGACCTACAAATTAAAACAGAAGTTATTTGTCACAAAGGTTTACATTACGTATCTCTCCTACACTTGAGAGAAAATTTCGTGAACAGATTTTGACTGCCATCAGATAGCAGCTATACACAACCATACTACGAGAAATATCGAAACGTTTAGCTGCATCGAAAAGTCAAATGATCTTAAAATCAGCACCACAGCGTAACATTAAAAGATAGATCATCCTCAAATCTCTCGTAAAACCAAGTTTTGTTGTAGACAGAAAGGTGTATCAAGAATGTCAGTGTTGTTTCAAAATAAATTCAAGTGTAGTGGGTTTAGACGCTTCTTTACGTCATTTAGCACATTCCTCAGATGGGGCTGCGGGGAGAGGTTCAAAGACACGGTTGCACGCAGTACAAAAGTAAAAAAATGTTGCATCACTCGAGAATCAATCAGAGCAAATATTTTCTTGAGCTTCAAGAGCTTCTTCGAGCAGGTCTTCAAAACACAAATGGTTAACTGGCCAGTTTTGGTTCGGTTTATCCACTCTTAGAACCTTCTATTCAAGACCGGCAATCGTTTGCCGAATAGAAGTGACGAAAAGAGGTATGGATGTCTGTTGTCTGATGACTGGTTGATAAAATTGCACCCCTAGCGATCAGTAGGCTAATTTCTCCCTTGAAAACCAATTACTTTTAGGTTCTGTAGCAATTTATACACTTAATATATTCTAAATGTTATTGCAGTTCTCGGATCATCTGAATGAGCATTAAAATTTACTTGTGCCTATCTTTTATGTATTCCTGTATAACCCATATTTATAAACCTTATTGTTGGAATCGTATTATTTTCAGTTGTGGATTTTGTAGTACGTCCATAGGAGCGGAAGACTATCTTGAAGTTTATGGGGAATCTTTGAAGAATATGAGTTGCTGCTTTTCGGATGTCATATAACAGATTTAAAAAGGTATGAGGTATGACAAAGTATTAGCTAATGAAACGTTTGTTTTTGGGATTCGATCATTCAGGCTAAATCCTTCGTCTTTAGTGTTAGTAAAAGCTTTTTCAGCCAGTGTTATAGGAGGGACCTAAGTATATGAACGAATATTAACTATAATTGTTTACACGAACATTTTAATTTGGCTTCAGATATATTTGCTATATTGAAAATTTCAACTTGCTTTATTATAACTTCAAGCTTAAAAATTTTGATTTCATACTGCCTTTAGTTTGATATTCTGGAAATTTCCCTCCGGAAGCTCAAAAATCAGAGGTTCTCTGCGACGTTTGTCATGATTATTACTATCAGAATATACTCCTTTCTTTTGCCTGCAATTTGTGACGAAAGTTTTGGTGCCTGAAAGTGAAGTTAGTTTTCTTCTTGTTTAAAGTTTACCTTTAGACCAGAGAGGAGTTTGAACAACTGGATACTACTTACTGCTGACTCTAATTGATGACTATTTTGAAGCAACCAGTCAAGATCGAGGTTAGCAGAACAAGCTACAGGTCAAACGTGGAGAAATTCCATTGCTTCACTTCTATCTGAAGTTTGTGCTGATGATGTTGTTCAGAAGAACAATGAAAGCTCCACAACCAAAACAACCAGCTCAGAGAACGAAACACCACCATGAAGCTGAATAAAGATCTCCCTCCCGACTAATCCGCGTTAGGAATTTACATCTGCATATAATATCCCACTTGTTCACAAATCTTTTCAAATATAAATATATGGCGTCATGTCTAGTGGAAATCTCCCTTGAAACAAATGATTTATGTGATGGCTTCTAATCACATGGGTTCAGAACAAGGAAATAAGCCAGTGTATGTAAGCTCATCACAATTATATATAATCTTACATAGTCGCTCAGGTTATCGAACAGCAGCCAGATTTAATCTCCCTCCGAATATCAATCTGGAATATACATCAACTCTAAAGTAATTAACTGGGTATTTGTTGGCTGATGTACCAAATAGATACTAGCAAGTGTTTCTGCCGTCATCCAGTCAAAGCTGTCCCAGTTTGTTTGTCACAAATTTATACTCAGCCATTTTCAAATGAAGGATTTCGTGATGATGGCGAGTTGTTTAGTAGATTTTCGTTCTTTGGACTAGGAAGTTCAATCTCGAGGCTACTCTGTTATTTTGTATGACATGTTCAGCGCAAAGTTCAGGTAAAAACACCATGGTAGATGTACTTTAAGTGTAAGATCCATTTTGAAGGCTTTGTTTGTGAAAATCCCTTCATGTATACATTTGTAATTACTGATTCCTTCAGTTGCACATATTTTGGTCTGTTCAGTTTCACTTGAGATATTTGTATTTTACTATAGTTTCTATTTCTTTTCCCTTTACTGAGTTTCCATGTTTCTTTCTGAACTGCATAATATTGTTTGAGCTGATACTTAGTCATGGCGATGGCCATATTGGTTTGTTTCTCTGTTGTTTGGAGCGATTGCACTGACTGGAATTGTACATTTTGATTTTGAATAAGAGTAATCCTCCAGAATTGGAAACACCATGTGTTATAAAGCAACCAAATATCATCGGCCGGACGAATCTGATCTTTTATTGATTGATTAATTGTGCAATCGTTGAAGGAATAACTAGTCGGTAATATTATTTATGTAATGTATTAATTTCAACGTACATAAATCCAGCTTCTTACTTCGACTTCTCTTCTATCCACCTGACACTGCACAACTCTCCCTTCTTTTTGCTGTACTCCTTTATCTGTGCGTTATATTCTTATATTCCCATAATTTACTTGAACTTAAGTGGTCAGTATGAATTTTATCTTGACTTACTACTGTATTGACTACTTCAACATGACAGGTTAAGTAGTGCTTTGGTTATATATATACACTTGCCACACTGCTGCCTTTTTCTCTCTCTCTTCACCTTTTCAGAACCCCATTCACGGTGGGAAATCCTTGGCAACTCTAGGGAACATGCACCCAATGTACACGACTGTCTGGATCACAGCTCGTATCAAGCGCGTTCCATATGACCTTTCCCAACAAATTCACTATTGATCTCGGCCAATCGCCAATAGAACCTATTGTAGAATTTATTTCGCAGGCGGCTGTCCTAATCGCGTCCAATAGAAACACACCGGTACGATTCTCCTAGATACCCGTCCCAGCCAAATCAGAAAGCCGAAAATTCTAGGAGAAAACCGTGATGTTTATGTTTCTTCCAGGACTAAATTACTCCGTAGAGTATCTATTACAATAGCTAGTAAGTGACACTAAGTTCAGCAGCCACTGCGTCTATCCAAAAATGTGGCGGTAGCCATATTATATCAAATTTAAACAATATATGTACAATTCAGAAGCAAACACAAAAACTTCAATATAGGTACAAAATATGGAAAGAATAACGACATACAATGGTAAAATCTCAAATTGGAATCAAATAAAATACCAAAAATGTCAAGAGAAAAAGTCCATCATGTCATGGCAAAAATATGTAAACATGGAGGGATTTTCCCAAAAACAAAACATTCAAAAAGAATTCTACACCGGCCCGCAAAATCCCTCCATGCAAAAACAGCAAGCGTTAACGACACCTTAATTAGGGTTCCCATGTTATCCCCTAATCCACACCGGAATAACGTGTAGGACTTACAGCAGTACGCCTACCCGCCATCCAACATGGATATGACCTATCGCGCTAACTAGATACCTTTACTTTCCCATCAGGCCCTTGATTCCCCTATCTATCGTGGAATGACCTAACGGTATTATAAACCTTCCCCAATTAACCCATACGAACATGAACAACGCGTCGCAAAACTGGTCATATCCTATCCAAGGACTACATTCTCTATCGTGGGGACGAGTCGCCAATCCACCACCACTTGCTCTGATCAGCAGATACCATGAAGTCCGTGATGCCAACTTATCAACAGAAGTTTTTGACTCATAACTAATATGCAAGGCTGAGATTTCCAATTTTGACATTTCGTCGTCTCTAGAAGACCTTAAGTAGCATGACGTAGGATCAATATTTATCCTTCCATCTCCTGATGCAGAGGAGGTTTGAACAGTGTTCATCATCGTCGGTAACTCATTTGTCACATCAGTGACATCCAGTTTATTGT